AGCAGCAGCAGGAGAAGGAGCAGCAGCAGCAACAGCTGCAGCAACAGCAGCAGAAGAAGGAGATGCTCCTGCAACCCTTCCTCCTATTGAGACTGCTCAGCTGCATGTAGCCACAGCCTTCGCTGCTTGCTCCCTCTGGTTTGGTGAGGGTTTAGGGTTTAGGGTTTAGGGTCTAGGGTCTAGGGTTTAGGGTTTAGGGTTTAGGGCGTTGGATGTTTAGGGCTTAGGGTTTAGGGTTTTAGGGTTTAGGGTTTAGGGATCTAGGGTTTAGAGTGCGGGCCCTGGTTTCGAGGGTTTAGGGTTTAGGGTTTGAGCCCGGGGTCAGGGTTTAGGGTTTAGGGTTTAGGGTTTAGGGTTTAGGGTTTGTGTGCAGCATACCTAAAGACGCAAGGACTAGACCCACAGGGGCACCCCGTTACAAAGGACCTCGTCAGCTCAAACCCTAAACCCTAAACCCTAAACCCTAAACCCTAGCGAGCATCACAGGTTAAGTAGTACCCCCATACGCACACAGACAACCCCTTTGCAAGGGTTTAGGGTTTAGGGTTTAGGGTTTAGGGTTTGGGTGTTTCTGATGCAGGCACGGGTGCAGCAATACATGCAGAAGGTATCGAGAGCCATCCGTGAAGGTGAGCCAAACCCTAAACCCTAAACCCTAAACCCTAAACCCTAGACTACCCAAAATTTCAGGGTTTAACAAAACCATGCATCAAGGGTTTAGGGTTTAGGGTTTAGGGTTTAGGGTTTGTGTATGCAGGAGAAAAGAGAACACAGACTGTTGACGTTGCTGCTGCTGAGCGTTTTATTACTTTTCATACAAATAACAAAAGGGGGGCCCCCAGGGGGGCCCCCGAGGGGCCCCCCCCCAGGGGGGCCCCCAAGGGGGCCCCCAAGAAGCGGCGAAAGTTAAGGGGGCCCCCGGGGCCTCCGGGGCCCCCAGCAGATTCTGATGTTGAGATAATAGAAGAAAGAGAGAACGAGGAGGGGGCCTCGGTGAATCAGAGCAGCAGCAGCAGCAGCAGCAGCAGCAGCAGCAGCAGGAACAGCAAGAGCTGCAACAATAACAGCAATA